TGCGCCTCAGGAGACCCCCTCAGCGATATGCGTTTTGTTTCTGCTGCTGCTATGGCTAATGCTGCTGCTGTTGCTGCTGCAGCTGCTGCTGCTGCTGCTGCTGCTGCTGCTGCTGCTAGCAGCAAGGCCTTAGGGGCGATGAGAGCAGCAGCAACGCTGCAGCTGTCTATACACCGCGGCAGCAAAAACACCTCCCTGTACACCTCAAAGCGATCCCAAGTTTGCTGCAGTGTAAATTCATTTCAGCAGCAGCAACAGCAGCAGCAGCAGCAGCTGCTGCTGCTGCTGCCGCTGCTGCAGGTGACCCCGAGTGCTCGCGTGGCTGGCTGCAGCCCTTCCCCTCANTGCTGCTGCTGCTGCCGCTGCTGCAGGTGACCCCGAGTGCTCGCGTGGCTGGCTGCAGCCCTTCCCCTCAGCCCCGCCTTTGCTGCTGCTCAATGAAGCAAATAAATAAATTAAAAATATATTTAATTTAAATCCTAGCTGCTGCTGCTGCTGCTGCTTCTGCTGCTGCTGTTGCTGCTGTTGTTGCTGCTGCCGCTGACGCAGGGGGGTCGGAAGGAGACAGCAGCAAGCCAAGCCACTGCTGCTGCTGCTGCTGCTGCTGCTGCTGCTGCTGCTGCTGTCTCCTGCCGCTGCTGCTGCTGCTGCTGTCTACTGCTGCTGCTGCTGTTGCTGCTGCTTACGCTGCCAGTGCGATTTGTAACACCACAAAGGGACAGTAGGGAGCTGCCTGTACACCTGAGCCGCAGCAGCAGCAACAATACCAGCAGCAGCAGCAACAACAACAGCAGCAGCAACAGCAGCACGAGGCAATGAAGTATATTCTATATACTAGCTTTAAGCTGCTGGCTGCATGCGCCCCTGTCTTGCTGACCCTCCTTTTGCTGCAGCAGCAGCAGCTGCAGCAGCAGCAGCNCTGCAGCAGCAGCAGCTGCAGCAGCAGCAGCTGCAGCAGCAGCAGCTGCAGCAGCAGCAGCTGCAGCAGCTGCAGCTGCAGCAGCAGCAGCAGCAGCTGCAGCAGCAGCAGCCTCAGCGGCAGCAACGACAGCTCTAGCAGAAGCAACAGCAGCTGTAGCAGCAGCAGTAGCAACCGCTTTAGTGACAGCAGATGCAACTTAAGCAGCAGCAGCAGCAACAGGTCCAGCAGCAGCAGCGGCACCCGAAATAGCAGCAGCAGCAGCAGCAGCAACACCTGTAGCATCAGTAGCAGGAGCAGCGGCTTTAGCAGCACCAGCAGCAACAGCAGCGACCTCAGAGGCAGCAACGACAACTGCAGCATCAGCAGCAGCAGCAACTGCTGTAGCAGCAACAGGAACAGCTGTAGGGGCAGCAGCAACAGCTGTAGCTGCAGCAGCAACAGCTCTAGCAGCAGCAGCAACAGCTGTAGCAGGAGCAGCAGCAGCAGTAGCAGCAGCAACAACAGCTCAAGAAGCAGCAGCAACAGCAGCAGCAGCAGCAGCAACAGCAGTAGCAGCAGCAGCAGGGACAGCCGTACTAAAAATTGGAGACAGCCAGGAAAGACCCATCACTGAGGCGCAGCAGCAGCAGCAACAGCAACAGCAGCAACAGCAGCAGCAGCAGCAGCAACAGCAGCAAAAGCAGCAGCAGCAAAAGCAGCAGCAGCAAAAGCAGCAGCAGCAAGAGCAACAGCAGCAGCATCAGTAGTAGTTGTTGTAGTAGTAGCAACAACTGCTGCTCGCAACCCCCTAAACCCCAAAAACCCTAAACCCTAAACCCTAAACCCTAGACTCTAAACCCTTGCGCCCTGAGCCACTCCAGCCTAAACCCTAAACCCTAAACCCCAAACCCTAAACCCTAAACAACCCTCCTACTCTACACCCCAAGCCCTAAACCCCAAACCCTAACAGCCAAACCCTAAACCCTAAACACCAAACCCTAAACCCTAAACCCTAAACGCTAAACATTAAACCCCGAATCCTAAAATGCAAACCCTAAACCCAGAAGAATAAACCCTAAACGCTAAACCCCAAATCCTAAACCCTAAACCCTAAACCACAAACCCTAAACCCCAGAGAATAAACACTAAATATTAAACCCCGATTCCTAAACTCCAAACCCTAAACCCTAAACCCTAAACCCCGAAGCATAAACCACAAACCCTAAACCCCAAGGAATAAACCCTACACTCTAAACCCCAAACCCTAAACCCCGACGTATAAACCCTAAACATTACACCCCAAACCCTAAACCCCGACGTATAAACCCTAAACACTAAACCCCAAACCCTAGACCCCAAGAAATAAACCCTAAACACTAATCCCCAACACTAAACCCTAAACCCTAAACCCCAAACCCTAAAACGCAAGCCCTGAAACAAGTATCCCTAAACCCTAAACCACAAACCCTAAAACACAAACCCTAAACCCCAGAGAATAACCCCCCGAACCCAAACACTACCCCGCAAAACCCTAAACCCCAAACCCTAAACCCTAAACCCTAAACCCCAAACCCTAAACCCCAAACCCTAAACCCTAAACCCCAAACCCTAAACCCTAAACCCTAGACCCGCATCCCTCCGCCGGACAAAACAAAGCTTAAATCGCCAAGGATAAATGATGAGTTGTTTGTTGTTTGTTGGTTAGGGTTTAGGGTTTAGGGTTTAGGGTTTAGGGGGAAGGTCTGAAGGGCCAGTTGGCTGCATTGGTGGGGCCTTCAGGAGCTAGCAAGGTGTTGTTATGATGGTGTTGTTGTGTGGGGTTGTTGTGAGTGTGTTTATGGTGGTGGGGTTGTTGTTGTTGTAATAGATATTGGTGAGTTATGTTGTGGGGTGTTGTTGGGATCGTGTGTGGGGTGTTGTTGGGATCGTGTATATTAATTTTTTTTGTGTGTTTCTGTCTCCCAACATATAAATAATTTTTTAATAAAGATAAAACATGAGAGACAGAAGCTCTATCTTCTGCTTTAGGTTGAACTAATAAATCAAATACTACTTTTGCTGCTTCAGCACAAAGAGGAAATCTATGTGTTTGTCTATCCAGCCCCAAAGCCTCACGAGCGCATGCAACCCATATTTTAGGTTCTACAGCCCAACCTTCTTGTGGGCCCCTATATTCTAGGGGCCCGGGGCCCCCTGGACTCTTCAACCCATCAACAACCCTTCTCCCTATTAAAACTTCAGCTATAGATAACCCAGCACCCCATGCATCTGAAGCAACACCAATAGATATTTGTTTAGCTTGTTCTATATTTTTTTCTTTCTTAGAATGAAACTCTAACATTTTTTGTTCCGGGCTTTCATACCAACTTGTCCCCCCAGTAAAATCTTTTGCACTGTGTGTACTAGCAGTCCCCAAATCTATAACTTTAACATCTATTTTTTTTTCGTTTGTATATGGAGATATATAAAAGTCTAATACTATATTATCAGGCTTAATATCATTATGTCTTATACCTAAATATGCATACTGTGATATTCTTTCTAGAGCTATACAACACCATAATATTTTATGCTGTTCATACACCTCAGCTGTTTTTTTATTAAATATATATGTATGTTCTGTTCTTATTACGTCAAAAAAATCAGGCCCTGATAGTTTACGAGTTATTAATACACTTCTACCGGGATTCTTTCTATCTAAATAATATCCTAAGAGCTCAGCACATGGCCACGCATCTTCTTGTCTTGTATACACCTCCTGCTGCTGCTCCTGCTGCTCCTGCTGCTGCTCCTGCTGCTGCTGCTGTTGCTGTTGCTGCTGTTGCTGCAGCAGCAGGCCTAGTCTCTGGTGTATGTACAGGTGACATTCTATCTCTCTTTTTATACTTCTCCCGTCTCTCATATTTCCATCTTCAACAAACTTCATTGCAACGGGAAAAGCACAACCAGGCTCAAGAGGAGACAGCCAGCACGCTCTATGTACCTTTCTTTTGCTGCTGTTTTGACTTATTATTCTCTCCTCTATATGGGGCCACAGCCGCAGCTCAGCCCTATCGAAGCATCCCCCCTCTAGGGGGGGGTGGGGGAGCTGCAGGGGCCCCCGGGGGTCGTATAGGCGACGGTACTGACACAGGGGCAGCAGAGAGGGGCCCCTATACCCCACACAGCTGCTGCTGCTGCTGCTGCTGCTGTTGCTGTTGCTGCTGTTGCTGCTGCTGCTGGGGTTGTTGTTGTTGCTAGGGTTGTTGTTGCTGTTGCTGCTGCTGCTTATCGTCACGCTACAACCACCACCACCAGCTGAAACACAACACAAATTGTTTATGTAAAGATAATGCAACAGCAAATATATATATATATATATATATATATATATATATATATTTNTATATATATATATATATATATATATATGTATATATGTATATATATATATATATATATATATATATATATACTATATGCATGCATAGGAACTTCAGCAGCAGCAGCAGCAACAGCTACGGCAGCAGCACGGACGACAGCAGCAGAACCAGCAGCGGTGACAGCAGCAGTTTCAGCAGCAGCAGGAGGAACAGCAGCAACAGCAGGAGAAACAGCAGCTGTTCCAGCAGCAGTTCCAGCAGCAGCAGCAACAGCAGCAGCAGCAGCAGCAGCAGCAAAGTGTCAGTGAGTCAGCAGCAGCTTACGCTGTCTAAGCTCCCCGTGCGACATCTCTGCTGTATGTACACCTTGGTTGCATGCAGACACAGCAGTGCTGCTGCCTGCATGCAGCAGCAGCAACACACACAACAACACCAGTACATGGGTGCTGCTGCTGGTTTATCTCGATCCCAACCGAGCAATCTACCTGTTCGTCGCTCGCACCATAGCTGCAGC